TCGAACCTGTCTAAGTATTTGGTCAGCATTCTGATTCCTATTCACCATGACTACTCCTGGCTCTTCCTCCATATGAACTGGTACCTGGTTCCTTTGTGGTTCGACTCTAAAATGTTTGCCCATTTCATGATCTTCCATGTTTGCCTCAGGTACATTTCATTGATGATATCGTGGTTTGTTTTCGACAACGGTTGCTCTTTGATCCAACGCCGGTACTCCCATAAACTCAGCCATACGGGCTAATTGTGTCGCCAACTGTTGATTAGTTTGAGTAGTATTCTGAATTAAAGGTTGAAAAACTTCTCCCATTGTCTGAGACAATGTGTGCACCATCTGCATGTTACTTTCATCCATTTGGTGCCTTAAACAATTTATGGATGTGTTTGTAAGACTGGGTACTTGAACAGAGTAACCCACACCTATGCTTTGGTTGTTTCGACCACCTGATCCAGATCCTTGTACTGGCGAAGATACCACATTCTCTGAAAATATGGGTGGCGCATTCTGCAGATTCTGCATCATCGGCGTAGGCATACCATAAGATGGGTTCCTTGATAATGGTTGTGAAAAACCTGGAGGAGGAATATGCCTGTATATTGAACTTCCTGGAGGTGTTGGTGAATTAGGAGTTTGTGGTCCTATATATTCCATCACAGGTTGAGTGTACGTTCGTACACATGTTGATCCTGGACTGGCCATGGGTTGCATTTGTTCAGACACAACTACTAGCGGTGGCGTCTGTCCTCCCGTCGAAGAAACTGGGTATGAAGTATTCTGAGACCCCATGCTTGACTGAGTATTTGAAATGCTTCCTTGAGGATCAACTTGTTGACTAGCATTTGTTGCCATTCTTTTAGTGTATCTTCTTTTTGGTACTTCTCTGTGTGTTGTGGATAACTTTCCACTCCTTAATAACATACAACGAAGTATTCACCCAAAAGATTAATGTAAACTTTGAAATTCTTAGCACTGGGTCCCACCAGGTGTGCCAATTTGTTTACTGTGAATTTTGGTAAACAACCGCTAGTCTATCAATTTAGGATAAAATTGAGTAACTTGCAGGATCGACCATACTAAATCCTAGGACATGTGCTAAGTATGCAAAAAAGATCCTAATCTGAACTCCACGTTCGACTATGAAATCTTTGTAAAGTAAAAGTAACTTGAAGATTAAAGGCAGTATCTAAAAGAAAGCAAGTAATGCGTCGAAGATTAAAGGCAATAATGTAAAAGCTTTAAAAAGTAAATGGCTTTGAAATAAAGATAATAATGTAAATATGCAAAAGATTATAATCTGAACTCCGCGTTCGATTATGAAATCTTCAAAAGTAAATGCAGTAATTGTAAACAACTTTGAAAATAAAGGTGCAAAAGATTCTAATCTGAACTCCATGTTCGACCATAAAATCTTTGTAAAGTAAATGACTTTAACATAAAAAGCTTGAAATAAGTGCAAAATGTTTAAATTTGCATGAAAAGTAAATGAAAGTAAGTTTGCATAAAGACTTGGAAAAAAAGGCAGTTTAAACGTAAAAACTGAAGGTTAAAGTGCAGAATGAGTAAAAATGCATAAATGGTAAAGGCAAGTAAATTGTATTAATGAAAAGGTGTTGGTGTTGTATCACGTACATTCTCGCTAACTCGTTTCTCTACACGCGGGTACTTTGAGTGTTTTGGAGTGACTAGTACAAGATGAATGAACACCCTTATTACATAAAAATGACGACTATTTATAATGCTAGCAAGTAATTACTATATGACGGTTATGCCTTCACAATGTGTCTTTTTGGCACTTTTTTACAACTTCAACTGCTCCCACGTTCGTCCACTATCAATTTGAACTTAGACACTACGAATTCCCTCCAGTTTTGATGGTAACTGCCTTGCGTTTTCCTTAACATGATCCTCCAATTTGAACTTAGACACTACGAATTCACCTTTCTTCGACTTATATTTCCTCATAGTTGTGTCGAAGCCTTCACATGTTTTTAGAATGACATTATGACTTAAGATAATTCTGAATTCTACTAGCGTCGAAAATGAGAGCTAACAGATGGATCTATATTATTTAGTTGTATCACTATTGGTGATCATTGATGGGTTTAGTTATGATTGATATAATGAAAATCACCTTGATTATGTATATTGGCATGACTAATAGACTAGATACTTTGGATATGCTTAAGGAATATAATGACAAATTTTGAGCTCATAAAACCTAACACATGTGTAAAGTTACATATGTGACTAGTGGGAGATTGTTAAAATTTTAGGCCACAAAATGTAACATTAAGATGTTAGTGTCATTATTTTATTTAGTCAAGACTTAAAGGGGTTTAATTAATATAATATTAAATTTGTGGCTAAAAGCATAAATGTCATGAAAGGTCAGGTTATTATGTAGATACCGTAAGTCAATAGCTAATTTGATGAAGGGACAAATTAGAATATTGAAAACTAAGAAATAATCCTAGGGTTATTTAAATGGGTTATGATCCCTATTTGTAGAGAACGAACAAAATAATATTTACGAGGTTTTCTCTCTTCATCCCCATCAGAGGAGATTAAAGGAACCTTAAGGAACTCTACAAATCGGAAGATCACATACCCGCAACCTTAAACGATTTCAATAGAAAATTTAGGTACGCTTCCACCTTCATTCTTTAACTGAATTCTGGTATGGGTTTAAGGGTTTTAGAGTTCTGTTCTTGATTTCTATATCATAGAAATCATAAGGTTTTGAACGGATCTAACATCTAAGACTATCATATTTAAACAAATAGGCATTTTAAAGAGACTGAATTTAACCTTTTTCCTAAATAAGTTGGGTCAAAGCCTTAAGTAGTCACGATCATAGGTCTCTGACAGACGACCAGATCTATTCCCAACCCTAACATGGAAAATTGATTAGAAAATATTGAAAAGAATGATAACAAAGATGTTAATAATATATGTGGGGTTATGAATTAAAAAATTTCATTGAGTCTCACATAGGAGAACTTACACATTTTACAAATGTTTATAAGGTGAAGGTTTTCTTCTTGGAATATGCATTAAAAGGTATAATATTTTGCGAACGGAGTGTGTGATGTCAAAATTTAACATTTTGCGTGCAACCAACTTGTGGCTTGGGCGTGTGGTTTTTCTTTTCTTTTTTGAAATCTTGGTATCTGGCCTTGTGACCAACTAATCTAAGGGGATTAATTCCACCATCCACTAGCGGAGACCCCTTTAAAGCCGGAACATTACTCCGTATGGATTGATCCAACAAAAAGATTGATTGCACCTAACAGGATTCAAACCTGAGACCTTGAGTGTGTGCTTTGATGTTGAATACAATTTTTTAGTACCTATGTCTTTTAAAAGGAAATGATAATTTTTTTTTTGCATTTGACATGTTATCTGCTTCGCACACGCTTGAAAGTTCCCTCCACGTTCCGATTTTCTCTCCCTCTATTTTTTCATCGACCGTTCATCTCATAATGATCAAATGATCTAAATTGTCTGTTCATGAGTTATTACTGAATTTTCTACTATAAATCGAGAGCTACGCTAAACTTTCTATTCACACTCAGGGCCGACCCAACCCGCTTAGAGGCTTAAAGAAATTTTTAAAATGAGGCCTTCAAAATAAATTAAATTAAATTAAATTTTATACTTGACAAGAGTTGAAACAAAGACCTAAAAGATACGAGATCTCACTTTAACCAACTCAATAATGAGATTTTATATAAGAAATATATCACTTAAAATATTTATGATTAAATTAAAAAATTTAAAGTCTTTTTATAACCCAAAAATTTGAAATTTAAAATCCCTGCTTAGGTCGCCTTACCATTAAACTGGCCTTGTTCACACTGAACCCTTGTGTTTCTCTCGAACATAGAGTTATCACTGATCAGAGGTCCATCGTCCCTTATTGATTATTGAGTTATCAAAATATTTTTTGATTACCTTCTAATAATTTCTCTTAGAAGAAAAGGAAAATTTGAAGAAATTCTCTTTAGAAAAAAATCCGTTGCATAATTATTCTCTTTGGAGATTCGTGTGGTATTCCTATCATATTTTAAGGTGTAACTCTACAACGGTTCCTACATTCCAATAGGGAACTGATATAGTGTAGTTGATGAAATTTTTTGTGGATATTCAATCCAAAAAAATTCAGAAGATATCTCATGAATTCATCATTGAATGTATTTTTTTAAATGAAAAATTTTAAATAACTTTTATTGTCGACAAACTAGCCCCATTCTTTGAAGGATTTAAAACAATGAAAGTTATATATATATATATATATATATATATATATATATATATATATATATATATATATATATATATATATATATATATATATATATATATATATATATATATATATATATATATATATATATATATATATATATATATATATATATATTATTAAATTAATTTAGTGGTTCAGAATTGCATATGAGTGATGAGTGATGGTATGAGAGAAAAAATTGAACAGAATCTAATTCCGAGAAAAAGTATAACTATATAGTAATAGTGCGTATAAATTTTCTTTTTCTACTAACTTATTATCACGATGTTGCCATTTATAAATGGAACGGCATGGCATCTTCCTAAATGTAACCAAACATGTCTCAAATTGATGTTCAAGTTACTTAAATTATTAGATATCTTTATTTTTCATACTTTTAATATTACTAATAAATAAAATTAGACGCATTAATATATACATTATGTCCACCTTCAGTATTTTTTAATATACATAAAAGTAACAATAAAATAAAGGAATTATCATATTTTTAAATTCTAAATATAAATAATTCAACTCTATTAAATATCATTCTTCCTAAAATACCCTTATTATTATTTTTTATTTTCTAAAATATGTGCATATCTCTAAAGCAAATTTAATGCAATAAATAATATTTTAATAACTATATCCTATGGAGGGAATATAATAAACAAAGATAGAAGCTACTGTGGCGGTGGTATGTACAAAATTATTAAACATCTCTTCGACATAGTGGGCAAGAACCATGCTTGATGAGCCACTTATCAATGCAAGGTAGGTGAAACATATGATGACAATGGGGCAGCCTTCTAACGCTCTCTCCAACTTGCAAGTCCTGAAATTTCACAAAATTCAAATTCAAATATTTTTAATTTAAAACCATGAACAGTTAATGTTTATAAAGAAATTAATTAACAAACCTGAAGGCATACTGAACATGAAACTCTATCGCCAGAAGCATCAAAATTCTCGTTACTTGTGATTGAGATTGTTGGAATCTTTTCAACTAAAACTACTGGTAAACCTCTTGTATCGTCAATGTCATAGAAGTTTTGAAACTCATAAAGGGTCATTTCATCATCACCTATCTCACCTTGGACAGCACTCAACATGGCTGGACCTATCCTTTCACGTAAAAGTCTCCCACTTATTAGACTAGTAATAACATCAATCTGCACATATACAATAAACATTACTAGTAATACATAAACACTGACCACGACACTGACACATCGACATGATACATAATGACTCACCAAGTATAAGAGACAATCAATTCCAGATTCATTAGAACGCCAAAGATCAAGAGAATATTCAAAAACTTCAATTGAGAAAACAGCTCCTGACATAGCACCAACAGCAGCACCTCGAATGAAGCCACTCTCAGTTTCTTGCCCTATGAAGGCTCCAGTCATAGCTCCCAAAAAAGTCCCCACTGCCAATAAAACAAAACAAGACAACTCGCCAAACGTTAATTTTCCAAATATGTCACAACACTTGCTGTAATTGTTAAAACAGAAACAAGACAACACATGTAAACATATCAGAAGATCAAAATCAAGATCAAGAATCATATATTACCAAATGCGAAGCAGAAAGTCAAGATCGCAGAAAAGATATTCCCGATGACAACTGAGACGATGAGGACACCAACCCATTTGACCCTCTCAACGAAATTACCAAAAAATTCCAATAAAGAGAATTGATTTGCCACAAACTCCATATTGGTATCTTACAAATTGATGTGTTGTTGTTTTTTATATGTGTAAAGATTGTGGTTTAAGCAATAGTAATATAAAATGAGTTTATGGAGAAGAGATAAAGATAAGAAGTTTTATCCATTGCACGAATGGTTAGTTAGTAACAACTACCAAGAGTGAGAAGATGACGCAGTGAAACTACCAAACAACCAACCAGCATTTATTGTTGGCTCCCAAGGATTATAATATGCTTAACAAGAAAACACATCCACATACCAGCTCAATTAATATATTGCTTAATTTGAATATAACAAACACAATAAATCCTCGTGAAACTTTTACAGCAATAACAAACATTTGTGTCAATATTAAGCAAAGTAATCATCTTTCGATTATATTTTCCAAAATACTCAAATTTAAAAATAAATAAAAAAGGATACGTATAAGGGGTGCCAATATAACAGCCCAATCTCCTTTAAAAATAAAGAAAGGACACCAATAAAAGCACACTTTCTTTTAAATTAAAAAGGGGTGTCAATAGCTGCCCAACCCCTTTAAAACTAAAGAAGGGGCGCCAATTAAACACTAATCATCTCTTAAATTTTAAAAGGGACGCTAATATAATAATAATCTTTTTTTTTAATTATATAATTAATTTTTAATATATATTATATAATATTATAATATTTATTATTATTTTAATAGTAAAATTTTTTGAATAAATAAATATGATCATCTACAGATTTTTTCACAACTCTTCTCATTTTCTTCTCATTTTTTTTTGCAGATTCCATCATGTATCTTAGAAGATATGTGCATGTTATTTTTTCAAGAACCAAGTCTCCGTTAAAGATGTTGTTTTGGAACATTAAAAGTTTAAAGCAACTAGAAAGGAATTTGAATTATTGGTTAGACGGAGAGATTCGAGATTGAGAAAGAATTAGAAGTATTGAAAGACTTGTTTCGTACATCTCGATTCCAGATGACAATAATGATATACAATGTATGTGAGTGTGAATTAAAGATGACGACGACATTAGAGATATGATGTTTGGAACTGATGATATTTTTCTAATTGTTGTCGTCTCTTAGTTATTTTATAGTGTTAATAATTTTTTATTTATGATTTGTGTTGTTGTTTTGATGTATTGTTGTTTGTTCTCTTGTGACCAAAATCTGTTATCCATATTAAATTCGAAGGTTATAAATATTTTTAACGACATAATCAAATCTTATGTAGAACTTGTTCCAACATTGGGACAATGTTTCTGTGTGTGACCGGGAAGACGACATATTCTACACAATCTTTTCATTTTCTCAGTTGTATTCATTTTGGTTCTAATTCGTGTGTTTTTGGGGCGACCTTTTTGTTCCTTCTCATATTTTCATTGTGGTAAATTGTGTCCCATTGATATGTAGGTCAATAGTCTTCACTAACTACCATTGGAAAATTATTGTTGTAGATATCGAATAAGTTAACGACCTTATAAACGTCTGATAGTTGCAAGAACGGGTCTTGACAAACACTGGAACATGCTGCAATGACATGTGAACAAGGCATGCGAAAGATTTGAAACTTTCTGTAGTCGCACCAATATTTATGAATTTTCACCCGGCAGTGTCTCATTGGTCGGCCCTCATTGTGATCCCTTATCTCGTTAAAGATGTAACCTTGACGGTCAAAGCCTATGACGTGATGAGAGGTCGATTTAATAGTTTCTTCCTTCATAAATTTCATGCAATTTTCGCTGAATAATTGCCCTAATTCAAATATTGCGCTCTATTTTTTTTACCTCTGGTCGCAAATAGTGATCCCAACCTATAATAGATTGCTCTCACTTACGCAGTGATTGGTAGGTTTCTAGTGCCCTTAACTACACAATTCATAGATTCTACAGGGTTTGTTGTCATGTGGCCTCATTGTCGTCCTTCATTAAATGCCCTTGTCCACTTCTTCACTAGAATGTTATCCACCCATCTTAATGCCTCCACATTTGACAATCTTATTTCCTCGTGATAGTTCATGAATGATGGTTGGTTTAAGACATAGCTCGCGTTCACAAATTTTATACGAGGATTTTTGTCTTTGAGTTCCCGCATGAAATTTTGAGCAATGTGTCTTATGCAGCAGACATGAACATAAGGAAGATTATGCCAACCATTAGCAGGATTATTGTAAGCGCTCTTAATAGCATATGTCTGTCAGAAATCAAGCATAAGTTAGGTTGCGGAGCGACATGTGTTTTGAGATTCTTAAGGAAGAAACTCCAACCTCTACCAGTCTCGCCTTCAACTAGAGCAAAGGCAATTGAAAATTTATTATTATTCCCGTCTTGTGCAACTTCCATTAGCAAAGTTCCTTTATTTTCCATACAACCATGTTCCATCAACTTGAATAATTGGTTTGCAGAATACAAAACCTTTGATGCACGATTGAAATGCCCAGAAGAGACGAGAGAATATTCTACTTCCATCAACACAAGTTCCATCATGAGTATATGATGAAAGCGATTCCAAAACTACAACCATTCCAGGAAAATATTTTTGAAGTGCTATCAAATACTGTGAAAGTTGATTGTAAGATTTTTTTCCAATTATCATATACTTGTTCAACTGCCTTAATTCTTGCAATCTAAGATTCCTTGTATGATGGAGTATATTTGAACCGTGCAATGATATGAGATATAATTATGCTCACCTTCACAGATGGATCTATGCCTACAAGATGCAAAATTTCTTGGCATATTAATTGAGAACTTAGTTTACAATGACCTTGTCGAAGAATGGTGGTTGTGCAGCTGGGAGGTGGACCAATCGAACCTATCTCCCAACAATCACTTCTCTTTTGATAAGACATTGCGAACTGAAACTTGCAAAGCCTGTTACGACAAAGTATCACATAAAATTTTGCATATGTGCGATCTAATTCAAAATCAACAGAATTATCCATGTGAAACCTTATTATAACTTGCACACATTCTATTTTTGTGCGGTACTACTTCCCCACTTTTAAAACACCTTCAATCTGTTGAGAATGATTGTAGAATAGATCTGAGGATGGCTCGTCTTTACCAAATAATTTATACTAATAATATATTTTTACTTAATTTATACTATTAACACCAAATAATTTATACTAATTTTTGTTGGTTGTCGGCAAGTCGGATGAATTACGACAATTGTCCTCATTACAACATCACACAATACAAAAAGCTATTGGGTCATTTGGGCCAAAACGATGTATTGTCACTAACTTATTTATTTAAAATTAAGTTATCTTAATCATTAACATATTATTAACATATACTATACTTATAGTTTTTTTCTACTACAGTTTATGTGGAGTCCATATATGGGTTTAGAAGGCATGCTTGACGTGAATCAACAAGATGTTGTCATATGGAGTGCAAAAACACCGATTATTAGTGTTCACTACTATGGAGATGCACAAAACGGATCGAGGGAAACTTCAATTTGGCATGCTTCAAGAAATTCGAAGTCCTCCGAGATGCTTTGCTTAATACCACGATAGTAAAGTCTCAAACTAGTGGGACTACGACGATTGAATATTATATGCAAAAGCAGAATGTCGTTAATGGAAGCGTCGCGGTCATTTAATCCTAATCGGCATTATATTGCCGATCAAGTCTAAACTAACTATCCAATTCATGAATTGGTATAAATCAGTTTCCATTGGTTTCTTGTCTGATCTCAGATATTTGGTTGACCCACGTCAACAAGCTTAATTATCAAATACCCAACCTGCAACCTAACACATTACTTACACTCAAAATCAGCAACACGTGCCATTCACACAACCACAATACCAAGAACATACCCCATACCAATCCCTCTCATTCCAACAAACTTTTTATTAGTCCCAATACCAACAAGCCCAACCACCCAACCAATCATACTCTTACCATAATACAGAACAAATTAACATGGACTACCAAACACCACGTCAGTTATTACCAACCCAAACATTCACACAAATGTCACCGTTCAACCAACTCAACTACTGTCCGACCATTACCTCATCAACACAACCAACTCAAAAAAACTACGAAGGCATGTACACGCAACTCAATCTAAACGACTTCACTGATTTGAGTTCATCTTTATGGGCCTACATACGTAAGGTTCTTCAAATCGATGCAACATAATCATCAGCAACAAGTTCTTATGAAACACCTCATGTGGAACCGCTGCCACCGCCATAGAGAGCAGCAAGAGACATGCGTCCTCGAGGAAGCAAAACCGACGACCATTTATTTCGACCGAGTCATAGAAATTAATGTACAATATTATTCGCCAATGTTATCTAACTATTATTTTATGAAATTATTAATTAAGTCTAAAATATTATATAATATAATATATATTAAAAATAAAGTAAATACTTCAAAAATATGTGAATATTGTCCAATTGGCGCCCCCTCTTATTTTTTAAAGGAGGTTGCAAATGAATTAGTGTCCCCTCTTTAGTTTTAAAGAGGGTCGAGTTGCTATTGGCGCTTCCTCTTTATTTTTAAAGGGTGATGGGCTGAAAACGATCTCGTCAATAATACAACAAAGTTATGAGATAAAGATTGAGTTTCTTGAACAAACACAAGAAACCTTATTAAGTTTTACAAAAAAGAGAGAAGAAGGAAGAAGACAAATAATAATTGGTTAAAACAGTTATAATATTCACTTTCTCAATAAGGGTTCAAAGATTACAAGTAAATACCAACAATTAACCTCTCTCAATAATGTGAGAGAACTAGTGTATTTATATACTACTAAGCTAAATTAGGTTACAAGCTAACTTAACAATTGAGCTTACAAGCAAGGCCCAATTCGACATGCTAACTCTAACACAAAGCTAACATATTTCGATAGCATGCTTGAACAGACTTTGACTACAACATGCACAACTCCTGTCGAACCATGAAGCTACCCTTTTTGACACTAGAGTTTGATATAAATACCATAAATCTCCACATTAGAACAAACTTTATACTAACAAAGAAATAAACTA